ATGGTTACCACTTCTAACAAAGGACTGACAGCTCAATTATTTTAAGTAAAGCAGAGAAATGTAAAAGTTTGCAGCAACTGGGCAGGTTTACAACATGGTTAGTAACTTCCAACAAACAACAAAATTAAAAAAAGAAAAAAAAAAAGACTTGGTAGAAACCATTTGAAATGACTGCCATCATGTTGGAAAACAGCACAGCTCCCTTTTCTCCATCAGAGAGGGGTTGAGTTATGAAGCAGAGTCAGTTGAATTTTCTAAAGAGAAATCTCCAGGGAGATTCCAACTTGGAATCCAATTTGAAGATCAATTTCAAATATCAGTACAACTGCAACTGCCAATTAATAGTATTCCAAAAACAGAGGTCTACTGTAAACATTTAATTCATAAAAACCAGACACTACCAGCCATGCTTTTTCTTCTCAGTGATGGCTCTGTTTCATCCATAGGTCAGCAAAATGAATCAATGAAACATGAAAAATCCCAGCTGAAATGGGCCCTTTCTTGTTTATGTCTAGCCACTAATGCACAGGATGAGAATGACAAGTTACAGCTATTTCCAGCAAGTGATGAGGTTTTATTAAAGTATCACCCACCACTAATAAAGACAAAAGGTCAAGGAGAAAAAACAAATTATTGTGTAAAATCCATCTGAGAAGTGACACTGACATTTGTATTTCATTGCTCATTTCACTCTCATCATTAAGTCTCAAAGAAATCTGGCACATAAATTTGTCGTATTTTGTGAAGCCCACTAACACTGGTGGGCACTGCTCAGCTCTGAAAGCAGAATATGATAGGGGAAAGGAAAGCTAATGCATATTAAAAACAGACATTTCTAGGACACAGTGACTGCACTGTTGCCTTCCATGGGGGTGAGTACCTTAATGAAACCATTACCTTCTAGTAACATCATCAGCTTTCCAAACAAGGTGAGAATGCAAGTGGAGGACTTCGGTCTGCACCCTTTACAGAACAGCACAATGTTACCAACTGGTCAGTTCCTTCCAGCATAATAGGTATCTTAAAAGTAAATGCTGACCCATGGCTGAAACCTGTCACTTTTCACAGCAGCACTCAACAAGAACTGGGACAATCGAAGAGCAAGTTTTTATGGGGACCCTGTTGCTGCTTTAGATTCTGATATAATTGAAGAGGAAAAGAGACCCTCCAAGGAATCCCAAAAAAACTGCTAATCTTCTATCTGCATGAAAAAAGCCAGGGAGTGAACACAGTATCTTACAGAGTGAAGAAGGCCACAAGAACAAAAGAGGGTGATTGATTGATTAATTTATTTTTTAAAACTTGGAAATTCGTAAACTAAAATAATCACATTTCTCCTTCCCCATCTCTGGGTAGTGCCATCATTTTAATAAGCAATTGTGGGATAACAGAATGTAACCTTTATCATGGGGATGCCCTTGTACAACCAGAGTACAAAGAGGTTACAAAGTAGACTGACTCAAACTAACAATCACCTTTGCTTTGTTTTAGCAGTTTGCTTACAAATGAATGGGTTTCTAGGGCTAAGTTATTCTTAGTTTGCAATTTCTTGTAATTTAATACCAAAACATATAAAAAATAAGCTAAAACAATATTCAAACCCATATTTTATTGGCTTTAATTACACACTTCAGTATTTACAAAGTTAAAGTTTAAATGAAAAGTCTCTATAAAATTAAAAAAAAATTAACTACAGCCCGAATTAAAGTGCCCTGGGGCAAGTACATATCAATGAGCTACAAATCAGTGACTGCATCAGGAACCAGGCAGTACTCTGTGTTACAACAAAGCAGTTTATTTGTGATCAGTGTTTGAGACTCTATACATCCTTCACAAATTTAATTTTACATAATCTGATACTCTCTTAAAACTTTGAACTGCTAGACTTATTTCCCTAAAACAAAAGGGCTGGTATAAATTATTTTCCAGAAATGAGGTACCGTTTCACAGAACTGTTTTCTTTTTGTTTGTTTGTTTTCAAGTTTTAGAGAACTAAATTTGTATTTGTTAAAATCAAAAAGTAGGAAAGATGTTTACAAATAATTTTGATCAAGTATGTGTTCAAAGGAAGCAGGATAAAAAGGCTTTTTCTCTAGCATTCTGCATTGTACTGTGTTGTTGTCAATAGGAATGAGCTGCTGTCATTTGCTAAAAGAATGAGTAGTGGGGAACAGGATATGTTGGGAATTTCATAACGGGTAACAGAACCATTCTCTTGGGCAAACCTACAGAGAAAAGAAACGGAGAGGACTCCAATAAAAATTTCAGGTAAAAAAAAAAAAATCTTACAGTAATTATCATTAACCTTTTCCAGATTAGTCAGTCAACATGTACCATTTTGGAAGAGGCCGACAGATCTCCTATTTTAAAATTGCTCTTGTATTTTGACAAATAGTATTTTTTACTCAAAAGTAAGATGGCTACATCATAAGAAGAATGATACTGAGAGATGACATTTGAGTGAGCTGTCATGAATTCTAAAGATCAAAAGCAATGCTATTGGTTAACATTAATAGTCAAAGTAATCTAGAAATCCATATTGGGTCTCAATTTGACACATTACATGTGAAAGAGAAGCGGGGATTGTCAAGATACAAAACACAGCGTTCTGTGCAGGCCTCAGCTACCTGCAAGACAGCTCCAACTGGAGCTGCCACCAGCTATTTCTTCATCTTCTTAATGGTTACTGCAAATATTGGCATGGCAAATCTGGAAAGATTAATCACTTTCTTAATTTTGTAATTAATACGTTCTTGTGGCCTCACAAATTTCTGCATACTCAGGCAGGATTTGGAAACTGCTCCTACACCTATCCTAATATTTAACCTATGGAGAAATCACAAAGCAGCAACAGCAGGTAGTCAAGAGCACCAGATGATCAGAGGGAAATTACCCCACATGCAACAGCTTTACAAAGGCCAAAAGACATATTTACCTTACAGCCAAAATAAAGCATCGTTTTAGTAGGTTTGCATAACAGTAACATTTAAAAACCAAATCTTTTATGTGAAAAATGGGGGCATCAAAGTTCACCAGCTTTGGAAGTCAGTTATATGGCACATGGAAGAGAGGGCCTTGTGAACTGAGGCTCAGAGACGTAGGGTGACAGTGTAATGTTAAAAGTAGGAAAAGGACCAAGAAAGGAAAACAAAGAAGACTGAGGAAAAATAAGGATGCGTACAAAATGCTTCAAAGGGAAAAAGTAGTCTCTAGCAAACCTTTCCTACAGAATCTGAAACTTACTGTATGGCTGCAACAAAGACATAGACTTAAAAACCTGCCCTGGGAGGCAGATACTATGGAACTTGCACAAGACACAGTACAGTAAGTGGGTCAAATATACTGTATCTGGACAAACTGACCACACCTAGCTCTGGAACAATGAGAAAGTCAGGAAGGATATCCAGTGACAGAAGAAGGGCCAAAGCCAATGGCCAAACCAAAGAAGCTAGAGTTTAAATTCAGAAGGAAACTTGGATGAAAACATTCTTGGATTTGTTCCCAATTCTCAGTCAACCTTTGTAACTCTAGCTCAGAATGTGGACCATGTGTCCAAAGGAGACATTCAGGCAAAGAGGTTTTTGAACTTAGGACCTAGCAATGCTTAAGCCATGTCTCCAGCCCTTTTTTTTTTCTGCTTTAGTTTATTTTTCAAATAGGGTCTCTCGGTTTTTTTTGCCCTGGACCAGCCTCAGACTGTAATCCCCCTACTTATGCCTTCCATATAGCTATAATTACAGATACGATCCACCACACCCAGCTTATTTGTTGAGATAGGGTCTCACTAACGATTTTACCCAGGCTGGCCTTGAACTGTGACCCTTCTACCTCCCCCTCCCAAACAGCTGGGATTACAGGTATAAGCCACTACTCCCAACCAGGCAAGGGATTTAAGTCCAGATTCTTTTAGCCTGAAGAAAACTTGCTCCAAATGTTTGACTCTTACTGCTTCTCTACATCTTTCCAAGATATAAATTGTCTATCTTAACAATCAAAAGATTTCAAACTATAAATGTCTATTTCTATTGTTATGAAATCAGATTAAGTTTCAATTCAGCGGCATCTTAAAGACCTTAATTTTCATCCAAATGAAAATGGCAAATGATGTGTGAAAAGGAAAAGCACAATGTGAAGATCTGAGGCTCACATAGAGGATTCATGCCACAAAGAGCAAGACAGGGAAGGCCTTTGCCTTCTGTGTGCATGCACACCCGGCTTGCACACATGCACACACACACTCCTGTCCTCTTCTCTCAATGTCAAACATCCTGTAGTTAGCTGATTCTGTAACAGGTAGTACCTGAGTAAGGAACAATATCTAAAAGCATGTCACTGACTCCAAACCTACTGCCTCCATTGCCACATAAACCTCATTCAAAGTTATCCAAAGGGCCACTGGAGTTCATTTACATATCTGCTGTTATTTTTTACTGGGGGGTGGAGAAGGTCTGTGACTTTCTAGCATGAACTACTGACTTCCTGCAGAAGGAATTTAGGGAACACTGCTAGTGAACCCCATCATCTCTCTAGCACCAATGATAGCCATTTACTTCACCCCCAAAGCAAAATTGCACAGAAAAGAATGACGGTTACAAATTTGAGTCACTCACAGTTCACACGGTTCCAAACCAGAAACTTAAATGTGACTATAAACTGGCAGGCAGCCAAGCTAGAAACCGGGCATGGCCCTTCAGTAGCCTTTGAATGGAGTATAAGTTGGCTGTAAGAAGAATTACTTAAAATATTTCATTTTAATATGGTCAGAAACAGGCAATTAGAACAAGCAGTCCTTCAGTCAGGCAAAGCAAAGAGAAGAGCAACTCTAACCAAACCAAGAACCACAAGGTTGTGATATTTTCCAAGGAATTTAAAGCTGTGTCGCTAGAATGATTAGGTCTGAAATCCTCCGATTCATTTACTGAAACCCTGGATACAAACTGTGCTTTGGATTGCTGGGAGAGATTCACTAAGAGGAGAAATCAATTAGATGGTGTACATACCATAGGCAGGGGCAGCTGTGCTGTAGCCATATGGTGTTCCATAGCCTGTGGCAAAGAAGAAGAAACAGATCAGTCCAGGGGACCACAGACAATTAGCAGTAGGCCAGAAACTGATGGCTGAGAACCATTCCCAGAGTGGTCCTCCTCTAGCTGCTCTCTGTGCCTCCATAGAAGTAAAAGCCTCTCACCAAGGTCTACGAGGCTCTCCTGGACCTACCACAATATGCCTACATCTCTCTCACTCCATTTCTGCACTGTATCATAATTATACATTTGTCTGTATTTCCCATGTGGGAGCACAGTCCAAATCTTATTCATCCTTTCTCTAAACCTAGCAGAATATACAGCATTTTCTGAACAAAATAATATTCAGAGCTACACAAATTACCTATTTCTCAAAGTTGGAAAACAAAGCTTTCCACATCTCATTCCAGAAAAGAGTGACAAAGGTGGCTGAGGCCTCAGTTGTCATTAAAGAGAGCTCACTGTTCAAATCATGAGCCCAGGGGCAAGGTCCATGACCTGTGGATATCTGAATGCCTGGCTCAAGCACACAAGGTCTTTTCTAGTAAATGTTGTTGAACTTGACATTAGAATCTTATACCTATGAAAAATGCTCATATTATTAAATAAAAACTAGCACAAAGAACACAGATATTTTGACCACCCCATGTTACAGTTTTCTTCATATTGCATTGTCCTATTCTAGTGTTTAGTCCTGCCCCATCAGACCCTGAGTGTTCACAGGGGCAAAGGCTAGGTTTTGGCCAGCTTGCATGCCCAGTTTTGAGACAAAGCACTCAAATATATCCAAAGAAGTAAACTTTCAGGTACCAAATCAAAGCATTTCCTGAGTGATGATATTTTTTACATTTTAGTCTAGACTTAAATTGTATTAAACTGTGGGTAGTACAAGCCAGTCATAGTGCTCACTAAATTGTAAATTTCAAGAGGACACAAAGCAGCTGAAATAATCAGTAGGAACAGAAGATGATAGCAGGGACCAAAAGAGAACAGAATGCTTTAAAAAGAAGTTTGTGTATGAAATTTATTCCAGCAAATGGGAGGTACTTCATAAAGCTATAATTTCAAGAGTTTTCACCTCCTTAAAGAGAGATCAAACTATAACTACTAAGCTGGTCACTGATCAGGCCATTGGGATTCTATACTGACTTGACCTTTTATTAGCAAGGTGTTTGAGTTGTACCTGTTAATTGCCCTCTTTGAGCCTTCATGTCATTTGCAGTAACTGAGTGGGAAGGGAAATTTAATTTAATTAAACAGCACATGTAAACATAACTATGACAGTCCCTACTGCACAGAATACACTCCACAAATGCCATAAACTATTCATACTCTAGACCAAACTAAACTGAATCTTCTCTAAGCCATAAAAGAACTGCCTAAGTTTTTTAAAAGCTTCAAGAGAAAGGCCTTGCAAAGACACCAAGGCAATGACATAAGACAGAATCCACTACTGAGCAAAATAGCTAGGCAGCCAGTACACACGAATACTCATGGTCACTGCACTGGACCACAGCTGCATACCCCTCTAGCAGGAGGCAAACAGCCCAACACACGTGATCAGATTAAGTCCCAATGGATCACATGAGCAAAGACAAGACTCATCTCAATAGCTTTCCCACTACTGTTTAATGAAAGCTTTGCCCTTCCCATAATGCAATGAATAAAAGTATTAAGTTTCAGTAGAAAAGATACACAAAAGAATGTCTTAATTTTACACACATAAACTACATCAAAGAAGATGAAATGCATGCCCTTTTCTTTTCCCTGAGCATTCATCTTTTAGTGTTCTCTAGCTCATAAAATGGTACAACCATTCCACCTGTTTCTTGTAGCTAAAAAGGCTAGACAATAGCCTTGAAACCTCAGAATTTTCAGTCTGTATACTCAATCCATCAATTTTTCTTCCTCGTAACTATTCCTTCAGTCTCTCTACTTCTTGCTACCCATCGACTTCCTGGTATCCACCAGCTTCCACTGATTCTTGCCTGGACAACTTGTCTACAACAACCTTCATGCTACAATAGCCGGTCATGCCCACGCCTGTCCCTGGAATCTACTCTTCACATACAGAAGGAATAATCTTTGCAAATAAAATCTGATCTTGTCACTTCTCTCCTCTTTGTAACTTTGCACTTAGGATTCTCAGACCAAAATTCAAGTGATGTCTCCACAACTGGGAGAGCCAACTGTTTTAACTCTCATTACTCCCCAGTCTCTCCTCCACCCAATTTTCTCTACATTCCAGACATGTTGGCCTTCTGCTTCTTCAAAATGAGCCAAATTCCCCAGCACCAGCATCACAGGGTCTCTGCAGATGCTGTTCCCTCTGTGTGCAACACTCTTCCATCCCAGTCTTCCCTGAGTTAACACCTATTCATTCTCCAATGCTCCATTCCAGTGTCACTTCTTTAGGTAAGCCTTCAGAGACCCACTAGACTAGATCAGGGTCCTCTGTTACATGCTCTCACGGCATGATGTCCTTCTCTTTCAGTACTCATCACCATTTAAAACTGTTAGTACTTGATTAACATGCCTTACCCTTTCACACTGTATTGCCTGACATCAAAATCAACATCTGTTGTGTGACAGAGCAGGTATACACTTTAAGCAATGCAACTGGAGTCAACTTCTAGAGGAATATTTCCAAAGCCACATCACTCATAAAACTTCCCCTCTGGGATATTCTAATTCTCTCTTAGAGGAAAACACAATTCTAGGGGGACTCTTAGGAATGTTACCTAAAAAATTCTGACTGGAGAAGACCTGTCTTTATGCAAATTTCATCTTGATAAATAACTACAAGTGGATTACTTATCAAGTGAAAAGTTTCATCACTTCAATACTGTAAAGAACTTCATTTTAACAAAACAGGTGGACATTCACGGCTAAAACAACATATAATTCAAACAGAAGGCAGAGAACGCAGCTTTCCCAGTCTCTCTCAAGCCATGTGGTGAAGTGGAAAGAACAATATAAACTTTGGGAACGCAAACACCTAACATTCAAATCCTTACTTTGCTACTTACTCACCACGTGTTTCACCTGAGGCTGGTTGCCTTATCTCCCCCTAAAATTCAGTTTCCTTATATGGAAATTAATCTCTACCTGAGGAAATACTGTAAGGATTGAAAACAATTAAGTTAAATAATTTATATGAAAATATCTGGTGTACATTAAGCTCTGGACAAATAAATGTCTTTTTCCCTTTTGTACTTCTCTGTACTTTTTTCCTCCTTTTGTAATTCTTTTCCTTTGATGCTTCTCAAACACTGAGTTTCATAAATGCTAATAAAGTCTCCCTACAGAGAAGCCCCCTAACTGTTTCTCTCCTGGTATATAGCCATCCTGACTTTTATGCCTCTGCAGAAATCACTCTGCTCAGATGTCTACATCTTTTAAGATTCCTCATTGCCAAAATGTGTTCCCTGAGCCAAGTAAAATATTGTTCATCTGTCATCTCCCTCCAAGAAAGCACCAGTTAATCAGCAGATGCCAGAAGAAACCTATGACATTCCATAGATTCTCTTCGTTATATTTCCAAAGACTCTATATAACCTTAGAAAATGAAAGAGATCCTGTTCTTCAGATCTGGGCTTAGAAGAGGCAGCCCAATCTCTTGCAGGTGGTACTAACCTGGAGCTATGTAGCCAGGAGCAGCCGTAGCCCCAACAAAAGCTCCTCTTGTCAGAGTTCCTCTTCCTCTACCCCGAACTGCCTGGACTGCTGCGGACACAGCTGTATTCACAACACCCTTTGCCTGTAAAAGTAACGTATTTTTATTATTGAGAGAAAGAAGAACTACCAGCCTCTCATTTCTTTAATGCAAAACCATGAGAAAATGTGGGCATTAAGGTGAGATGATGAGTGCCTAGAATCTTCAATGTACCATCTGCAAAACAGAAATGACAACAACCTTAAAGTACTGTTATAAAGCATGTGCTGGGCACATAAAAGTATGCAAGTAACTTTTCACTGGAGGGTTACCCAGAAACACTTCACATTCTACATATAAATTTCAATAGTCAAATTACATCCAAATTCATTTTAGGCTGGATCAAAAGTAATCCTAGACACTTGATGCCTAGGTTTGAAAGCCATTGATTTTTCCTCCCAGACACAGAAAATATCCCAGCAACAAACCATCTACAATTAGTTGTAAAGCTGAGTGGGATTTAATTTAAAACAAACAAACAAACAAACCGAAACCAAGAACAGACTAAGACAGGAAAACTAAAAATAAGGATGAGCGTTTCTTTCCCATCTGAGACCTTAGGAAAGTCATGTTTCTTCCACTGTGTGTATATAAGTGGGTATGATAGTGTGTATCTGTGATGAAATAAATGCCTCCTCAAAAGCACCTTCTTGCTCTAAATGCCATGGAACACTGGTGATGACACATAATCTCTCTTTGGCCGTCTCCCCACTAACTGTAAAATGAGATGAAGACCTACTTTCTTTTCCTTCCTTTACAGTAGAAACAGCAACAATGAAAACACTCTGAAATGTAGAACTACTAAGTCAAGGAGCAACAGCACATGGAATTCTATAAACCCTTTCCCCAAAGTGAGTACTCTCAAGAAAATAAATGGTGTCTAAAGTTAAATATTAGACTTGTTTTTAATGTAAAAATGCAGTAACTCAAGCTAGAAACTATTAGGATTTCCAAGTAATTATGAAGCAAGTTGTGCACAGCCTCAAAGCATACTGTCTGGTGAAGGAAACTGTCTGGTGAAGCATCATGGAAGTTCAAAGACTTGGAGGATGCATGTGCTTGTCTCATGTGGAAAAAATCAGACCCTTTCTTCCTCCCACCACAGCTGCTACCTCTGATATGACTAGCCATAAGACATTTCCAAGGTTGAATGGATCATTCACAGGGACAATCATTTTTCTTTTTTTGCCTAAAATAAACCACTCCACACATCCAAAACAGACTGCTACTTAGCTGTTAAGAACATTGAATGCATGAATTTTACAGCTTTGAGTACGGAAAATTTCTCAAAATGAGAGAACTTCATGTAGACACTTTTTTAAAAACACAGTTTAGTTAAAAAGTAGTCAGGAAGCTACAGTCTGGCAGGAACAGAGTGATTCCACACAGATCTAACTCATGTGACCAGAAACAAACTTCACTACATAATAAATACTTGAACCTAGGTTCTTTCAACTCTTAAATTCTCCGACAAGATATAACCCATGGGAAAAAAACAAAACAAAGTGACAATGATTTTTCTACATAATCTAGAATATATTGTCCTACTTTTACTAAAAAATTTTGGAAAAATCTTATTTTCTACATGAGTACCACTGCACTTTTACTTGATCTCTTAATTTTTATGTTATTTTACTGATATTTTGAATCCTAGAATTTAGTCAGTTGATTTACTATAGTTGATACAAGAAGTTTAATTGAATACAAACGTCCAAGTGGATGAAACATGCAATAGAACATCCATGGCCTTTAGAAGAAGAAGACTTGGTTTGAAAGGGAACCTCTTCATCAATTAGCTGTGTGACTACGTGCAAGACTCTTAATTTCCTCTTCCATAAAATGGAATCGGTTCTATCCCTTCTACAATGGATTCAGCATGTACAAAAGAATTAAATATGTCTAACATAGAAGCTTAAATAGTCTAAGTTCCTTTTAGTAGTCAAAGTATTCTTAATGTATTTGTTTCTATCACAAAATATATTCAGACATTACAACTGCACTAGCATTCTCCATGAGGCAGATAATTGTCTTGTATTTACTCATGAATGTCTCCCCCATAATCATATACATGGTACATGTGTACATGTTTTAAAACCATTTTAAATGCATAAATGGAATGACTGAAGAAGCTCATACAAAGCATCTAACTAGGAGGCCACCTTTTCAAAATTCCTGTCAAGATCCTTGACCTCCAGTGGCACTGATATCCACAATGCCAGCAATCTACAGAAGCAAAAGTATCACATTTTGTGCTGCCCACAGAGGAAAACCCAACAATGTAAAAGGACAGAGAGCAGCTGTAGACTGGAAGGAAAGTGAGACCCAGGCATTCTGGCAGTTCTGAGCTAGACAAGTTCCCACAGTACCAAAAACCCAAATCACCTCCACACCTTACTTCATCAAGAACAACCTCAAGCCTCCAACTAATGCTAATCTAGCATTATGCACATATAATTTACGCATATGTATATATGTATATACTTTTCCAGCCCAAAAAAAAAAACAGAAAAAGAAAAACCACAGAACAGGGAACCACTAGTCTTTGATGTGTATTATTAGGCCGTCCAAAGAAAAAGCTGTCAAATTCACAAAAAAGAAACAACTTCAGATACAGTTAAGGTGACACACAGACAAGAAATTTAATTCCCATAATATTTTTCAAAAATATTGCAAAGGTTTAGCTTAACTCATACCTGAGGAATAATCTTCTTTTTCTTATTATTTGCTGCATTGGGTCCAGAAAACAGCTTCTCCAGGGCAGCAAGAGCTGCACTTGCCTTTGCCACTTTTTTATTTGGACCCGCGCCTCTAAATTTCTGTCCATCTACTTCTACCTAAAATCAAGAACATCACTTTGCAATTATCCCACGCATTTCTCTGAGTAGTTTTAATTTAAATGAGTAACATGGAAAACACGAGAAGTCAAAAGTGCCAAAAGAACTGATAAGAGTCTAAAACTTTTTTTACATATCAACTGAAGTTATCCTAGTCTTGTGAGAGGAAAAATAAGGCTGGCATGTATCTAGGTACACACCTCCATTACAAAGCGCTTGTCATGGCTTCCACCAGTTTCTGAGATGAGTTCATATTTGAGACCTCTTCTTTTTTCATTGAGCTCCATTACAGGATTTTTGCCACTTGCTGTGAGAATAGGGCCCTGAGTTCTTACCTAAAAGAGAAAGGGAAGCTGGAGGTTCGGTCAAGTAAGATTTCAGAGTATAAAATTTCTTATTAATACAATTACACTCAGAAGAAAGCTCAAAAAAATTCTACTTTAAAACATTTAGGGGCTTTGTACACTAATTACAAAATAGCATCTTTAGGTGCAAAAACTCTACAAGTAGTAAATGCAGTCATCTGGACAACCTGCTTTCAAAAGAGACCTGACCTCATAGACCAGTTAGTATTCAAGATTAATGCAGCCTTGTTACTCTAAAGTGGTCCAGGGTCTGATGTGTGCTGTTCATGACACATTAAATGACTAACAAAGAGGAGAGAACAACATGGATTCACGTGATGCCTTGAGGGTTCATCATTTTTCATCTTCAAGGTTGTTTTTTAGTTGGTTGGTTTTTGTTTTTGCTTTGAGGGTCTTGCTGTGCAACTCAAGCTGTCCTGAAACTCAGAATCCTCCTGCTCTGCCTCCAAAGTATTGAGATTAGTGGTGTGTGTCACCATACCCAGCCAGAAGGGATCACTTAACAGTTTTCTGGGAAGTGGTATGTGAGCTTGGCCTTAAAAGGCTAAGTGCCAGAAACAAAAGTACAGACATGGACACCACCACAATCTCCATATACTCATGCAGCTACTATTAATACATCTCATACTACTCTCTCCCTTCACAGTTTCCTTTGAACTTAGTGTAAACTTCATAATTTACAAGGCCTTCCTTCTCTTGGTAAATGACCACCACTTATGCACGAGCCCTGCTCTCCACAACCAGATGCCACACCTGCCCTCCTCAGCATCCCAAGAGAGCCAGGTGTGTCTTCCTCAGGCTTCATCCTCCAGCAGTGTGCCCCCACAGCACTTCTCAAACATATACTTTCAACTCTGAGTCACTGTACCTCCTTTTTTTTTGACCCCATATGGTAATATTCATCATGTAAAATGTTCACACTGTAGTAACTGATTTTACACAACTGTGTGAGTGTGTGTGGCAGTGGCAGTCACAAGACTTCCTTGAGATTTCACACTATTATATTCACTTTGTATCTCAGTGCTTGTCACATTCAATTTGAAGTTGTTATAAACAAATCTTTTTGCTCTTCTTGCCTGGGAGCATCTTTAGGGCTGGACACAATGTCTGCAGCATCTAGAGCTAAGTAAGTACTGAAAGGGATTATGGACCAAAAAGAATTAGTCTATTAAGTCTTTACTACATACTTATTCTTATATGTGACAAAGTATAAAGACTCTTTTTTTTCCCAATATAAGCTCTTGTCATTATTTTAAAGACAAAAAATTTTCTTTACAAAGAATGTACTGAACAAGGACTTCATGAATTCCCCAATGTGTTACGTGTTCTCAGTACTTGACTTTTATTCCATCTTAGTATCTGTGGTGACTACTCACAGGACAGGATTCTTCAGATTCTGAGGTACATTCTGGGTCTGGTTATGCCCTCCTTCAGGGCTGAACCACCATACACATATCAATTTAGCACATATTTTAAATAATATCAAATTTCCTCCACTAGATATTTAAGCCTTTTGCTCTTCAGTTATTGTTGTTACTGTTGATGCATTGTAATTGTGATACACCAAAAGCAGCTTCCATGGCCAACAATAGGGAAATACTAGTTTAAATTAGTGTATATTCATGTGCTGTACAATCTACAGATATGTTGACAGGTATTTTTGAAGTAAAAGAAAATCAAGATGTAAAACTGCACTAAAATATGGCTGCTCTCATTAAAGCATTCATGAAATAAATTTGGATAAAAATAAAGCTAAATATTACTAATGCCTGCCTCTACAATGCACAGGCTTGTGTATGCTTTTAAATTTTTTATTTATTCTTTTCCACATCTCTCAAATTTACTCCTATATGTTATTTTTTTCTAGGGAAAAACATATGTAAGTATACCTCTAAGGTACTGGAGGTTTCAGTTGTAGAATTTCCAGTATTATTGCTTGAGTTTGAAGACACTGTTTCATTTTTGCTTTCATTATCTGATTTCTCATCAGAACTCATACATTCAATATCTGCATCAAAGCCTGTTGGGTAGCCCATTGCTTGTAAAACCTGTGAAAATTACATTAAGGTGCAGTTTTGTTCAGACATCAGAGATCACAGAAAATAGATGAAACATTGAGAACAAAAGTTTCAAACTTACGACATTTAGATTCATAAAACACCTTTTAGGTGCTAAATCTATAAACCCTTGGTTAAAAAAGGTATACCTATCAGGGTAGCACTGAAGGAAAAGTTGGAGAAATCTCTTAAGAGTAATCAGGTTAAAATAGGATGACAGGGGAAGATAAAGGAGAATGCTGGAGGGTGTGAATTTAATTGTAATATATTGTAAGAACTTTCATGAATGTCACAATGCACCCTCAGCGCAACAATTTAAAAAAAATAAACACAAAAAAGGAGGTTAAAAAATAGGATGACAGAAATGTAAAACTGAGGTTGCTCCTAATTCATTTAATTTAAAGGTGAAAGGAAGAGAAAATAAATAGCACAGTCAGGTTTCATCAATGGGATAAGGAGAAAAGTCAAAAAGTACACTGAAAAAAAAAAAAAACCATAGTGGACTAAGAAAGGAAAAGATCTGAGAGTATAATCATATAGTTCTCTTTTGGTCCTTGTTTTTCCAATCTCCAAAACAGGAACACTGGATTAGTCGACCTCTAATCCATGAGGGGAAATTGGCCCAGAAAGGGAATCAAGAACTATTTTACCTTTGAACCAATTTGCCTGTTAATTTCAAAAAACAGCATCTACAGTTATCTACTTAGCGGCATTGCTTTCATTTTAAACCATAACTGAGACTTGAAAGAAAAGATATGGTCTTTAGGTTTATTCCCCCTCACTTATACTAAGTGAGCCAGGAACAACTTCCAGCTTCTATTTCCATCTCTCCATCTCAAGGCGTGAGTGCCTTCTGGCCACCTCCAAAGTTCAAACGTCTTACATTTCCATTCAATGCCTGGGTTCTCTCATACTTTTCTGAAATAAAATTTTGAGAAGTATGTTTGTGACTGTGCCCATGTGCATGCATGCACATGTGTATCTTTAATACCTCCTTCTAGGTTGTACTACTTTTTACATTGTAAGAGAACATATTCATGGGTGTCTCTTTCAAAGTAAGTTGATATTGCTTTGTCAGTAACTAATTAAAGCTTTTTATTTTTTTTATTCTATATTGGGGTAGTAGAGATTCAAATCAGGGCCTCACCATGTTACAGACATGGTCAACCCTGAGGTACACCCCCACCTTTTAAAGCAAAATATCAGAGAACATAGGGATATAGTACTGAAGATTCCTGTATTTGTTTCAGCTTTTAACTACTCTTAGTTGTTAGAGTACAAAAGCAATGTCATAGCCAGGTACAGTGGCTCACACCTGTCATACTCAAAAAGAGGAGAACAGGAGGACCTTGCTTCAAGGCCAGTCCAGGCAAAAAATTGGCGAGACTCCATCCCAACAACTAAGCCAGGCATGGTGGTATGCATCTGTAATCCCTATTACAGAAAGGCATAGTTAAGAAGATCGTGGTCCAAGGCTGGCCCTGGGCAAAATGTGAAACCCTATCCAGAAAATAACCAAAGCAAAAAAGGGGAAGGAGAGGAACACATGAGGGTAGGGCTCAAGTGGTAGAGCACTATCCTAGCAAGCTGGAGACCCTAAATTCAATCCCAGTACTGCCACAAAAAAATTAACTCATGTCCTATTTCTTTATTATACCAACTGTACTTAATAGCAGTTTCAAAAAAAAAAACTGTTACAGTAGACACATGAATAAGAAACTAGCCTTTGTAAACAATGGTATCACGTATAAAGGACTTTGCCAATATAAACAAAACAGTATTACTCTAAACAAAAAATAAGACCTAAGAGGAACTCTCTATTAAGAGAGCTGGAAATCAATTCATCCAATTCATGTATACAGAACTTGCCATTCTTTTTTTTTTTCTTTTTTTGTAATTTTATTAACATATAATGGTTGTACAGGAAGGATACATTGTGATATTTATATTTGTGCTTACATTATATCTTTGTTGAAT